CAGCAAGCAATGGAGGAGTGACTGATCGTTCTTGTCCAGGGATATCCAGAGTTATATGACCTGTCTTCGTCGTACTACTTTGACTCCAGCAGAAGGAACAATGCCTGGAGAATTATCAGCTCGGAGCTTGGGATAACTGGTGAGCATGATGATACGCTATTTTTATGGCTTTGCAACTTTTTTACTCCCCCTGTGAGTGACAGGCGGTTTTGGTTGCTTAGTAACGGCAGGCGCGACAGTAGTGCAACCTCCGAAGCGCCTAGGATAAAAGGATGGAAACGGCACAGCTGGCGTTTTCCACGCGCTTTTAGACGCTACATCTGAACGGGGCCTAAGATGGGTCCTGATCTTGACACTGTGTCTTTAAGCTAGCTTTAAAGAAGCAGCTCGATATTTTGAGGAATACACTCATCTACTTTGGTCTTTCCGTTTGTATATTTTCCTTTGAAAAGTAATAAACTAAAATTAGTACCTATTCTACGTAATGATGAACCTGTAATTCGTGCTAACCAACGTGTTTTGGAAGGGTGTGGTCATGTGACAACTATACTGGCAGGAGTAAAGTAGGAAGCACCCCGAGCAGTCTTGTTAGGAGGAAGGTTGGGGTGGTGGATGAGTAACAAAACATAGAACTTTTCTCCAGGACTTTTCCCAGGAGACTGTTGTTCAGTACCACATGAATTATGGGTCATTTTAAGGTACGTCGTCACTATATTTCTTTAACTTCTTCCGTAATGTTATGCTAAGTACAGAACTTAATGTTAAGGACGTAATGTTGTTCATGGGATGCTAATTTATAGGATATGATATGAGCTGTTGTGTGTGCATTTTCATAGGAAATCATATAAACTGTTGTATGAGGATACTGTTAGTGTATAATCACTTAAAACTTAGGTTTGTTTAGTTTTCATTAACTTAGAATGAGCCCTTCAAATCTACACAGGGAACCTCCAGGGAACTTCCATGGAGCCCGCCGTGTCTACAGTGGCCCTGAATGGACCAACCAAACACTAGCTCAAGTGAGGGCCTTCTGCATTTTTACGTTGAAGTGAAGGTGACTATAGGTTCACCTACATGCTTGAAAAGGGAGGGGTGTGCAGAGAGTTTTCAGTTGGTTGCAATCTGTAAGTTCACCACTAGATGTCACTACATCCTACATATTGCTCCTTTACGGCTACAGCTGGTCACTTTTACAAAAAAAAAACTTTATATCATATTTGCTGCATCATCTCCTGCTCCTATTGCCTCTAATGGCATTCTCAAGAATTTATTGTGGCGCACAACAAACAACCAATCAGAGCAAAGGAATCTAAGGCAGCTGTCAATCATGTCAATCACTGTTCATGAACTGTGGTCAAACTGTCAAAATAGGCAGCGCTGATAAAATTTGAATCAAGATCCTGTTACTGCATTGCCTATTTCTCACCTCAAATGCTTTCAGAAACATATTTTAGTGTACTGTTTAGCTGTAAAATGCGAAAGTTAATCACCCGGCAGCCATGTCGGAAACATATGACCAAAGTACCAAGCATCGCCAACTGCCCAGACCAACTTTGTAATTTTACAGCTTAACACTAAAATGTCTGTATGTGAAGTGCGGGGAGTTGAGAGACAATTAGCATAGCTTATATAAATAATAATTGCCATGTAGCCTACTTTTCTGATAACGTTCTTACGGTAACACTCGTTGACTTCCTGCTTATCCACAGAATATTTTGTTTGTAGCACCATTGCGTTTCGGAGCATATTGTAATGAACAAAGTGTTAACCATAAACGCTCTATGCATGCTTGTAGCTTGCACAATGAGTAAGGGCCCAATGCTACAGTGTCTCCTGCAAGTATAAACAAAGCTTTAGAGGAGCATGTTTTAAAAATTTGGAGAGAGGCAGGCTAGATGTTTCCTCTTGAACCCTCTCTTTATGCTAAGCTAATCATCTCCCAGCTCTGTCTTCATGCTTACTGTAGCACACATACATGAGAGTGGTTTTGATTTTTCTGACCTAATTCTTGGCAAGAAAGCAATAAAGTCAATTTCCTAAAATGTAAAACTGTTCCTTTAAGCCCTTCAAAATGAGCTCTCTCAAAAATCATCTACTTAGTGTGAACATGGCCTCAGATCTTGTCAGCTTTTTAACAGTTTTCAGTGCCCTCAGAATGGCTCATGAACACAATTACTGTAAATATCTTACTCTGCAAAGCCTGGAACGAATCTTTGTTTCTTTGTTTTTATTTTGAGGGAAATAAAAGTTACATTAAACAGGAGAGCCAGCCAACAGAGAACCATCTGCTTTGTCTGTGGGTGCTGTTCTTATTTTTCATTTTGTTTACAAGTATTTTTTTTATATTGATTGTTTGTGTGTGTTAGCATTTACATTTTATAGTCACAGCGTTGAGCCATCTAACAACGTCAATACAGACAGAGGGAACTTTGAAGTCGCTGCTCACTATTATGACTTGACTTTGATGTTGCCTCCGTCGTCTGAAGCTTTGAAGTTTAGTGAGGTTCAACTATCTCACACTTCTAAAATCATACATATGCAGAGGGGGACACACATGGATGGAGAGACAGAGTGATAGAGAGACAGTGAGAGCTGGAGAGAAAGAAAAAAGACATAAATCAAAAGCGGGGCAATAACAGGAAGAGGGAGAGTTAGAAGGAGAGAAGTGATTCAGGCAGATAACAGAGAAAGCTGGGAATATGGAGAGGAAGAGATCATAAAAGAAAATAAAAGGTGGGGGACAGAAGGAAGAAAACAGGGGCCGATAAACACAAACAAGTAGGAAAGAGTGAAAAGCCCGAGACAGGAGAGAGCGACGGCAAAACAAAAAGACAGGCAGGAAGGGAAACAACATGGTAGAGAAACAGAGAAAGAGACAACTGGGACAGATTCACAGATTCACAGGCTGACACCACAAATGTTTAAACACTAAATCTCTTTCTGCCCCCATGCTGTTTGATAGGGCCATTGTCATATTACTAACCAATTAACTTGACGACACCTCCTAACAGACCACCCCCCTGCTGACTGAGAATTATCAAAGTGCCACTTCAAACGTCCGTCTTTAAGAAAAACTGACTAAAAAAAGTCTGAGACAAGAGTACTGGGTAATCCCTTCAGGACAGCAGAAGAAGGCTGCAGACACTGCGGGGAGACTTTTCTATTCTCTCTCTGTCACACTGATGAGTAATAGAGTGGAGAAGAATGGGTTAACCTTTGGTTCATTAAGGTAATCATCTTTTGGATGCTTTAAAGTTGAACTTTGGAGCATTTGGAAACCTCCGAGTTAGTTCAGGCAGTCAAGTTGAGGTCATCACTACAAATTCAGTTGGCATACTTTTCTCACTGCAAATGCACTTTCATAATAGTAGTGTATTTGAAGTTCAACTGAAATATATATATATGGTTCAATTACAGCCTGTAGCGCTTTGCTGCAGACTGGAACATGCTTTAACATTTAATCTGTCCTGTCAAATAACGCCAAAATAAGCCCAAAAAATCTTTGAATAAAAGATTCTTCATTTATAAAAATATAAATACCAGTGATGAAAGCCCTTGCATTTGCAGCAGGGGCGTAAATATAGATAGTGCAGACAGTGCAGTTGCACTGTGGTTCATGAGGTGGGGGGCCCATAGAGATAGTTTTTGTAAAACAGTCAAGAGCATCTATAACAAAATTATATGCTTATTCCAAATAAACTATAATAGACTATTAAAACTATTAATTAAATTAATAATTTTGTATTTTCCTTGGTATTTTTTGTCATATACAGACATGCAGTGATGATTATCGACACTCCAGGGAAAAAACAAAAGCGGCATGCAGTGAGCGTGTGAAGCCAACACATTCCCACTCCCAACTTGTCAAATACTGACGGTTAGTCAGTGGCCCTACAAATCATGATTAGAATTATGATGCTCTAGGTCACCCTCCGATGGCAGTTTTAGACGTTCAGGAACAGCGTGTCAATTTACGCTTGTTACATGCAGTGTCTTTTCAAAACAAACTTTCATTTTTACGGGAAATGTACAGCTTCTTGTCATTTAATGCATACAGTCTCCTAGAAAAAAATAAAAAATAAACTTAGAATGTTGGTAAAAATCTTCATTTTTTGGTTTACTTCCTTGAGTTTAGGCAACAAAAGCATGTGGTTAGGCTTAGAAAAAAATACCATGGTATGGCTAACAACTATGATTGTTACTAATGTAATATAATGTCCAGTGACATACATCACTAGCATAGTATGCTCGCCTGACTTTTGCTTTCACATAGGACACAAACAGCAGGCTGCTGGGTGAAAGTCCGGAGTTTGTTTGACCCATCTACCTCTTTGTACTACAGCAGCTGCTTGGTCTGCCAAAAAATGCCGCCGCCCAGTGAGTCTCATACCGCCACTAAAGGGTGCTTCTGTGTGTTGGTGTCTGATGTTGAGGGCCATTGACCAAGTGTTGGTATTAACAAATTAGGATTTAGACCAGATTGGTAAAAATGTGTGCAGCTTTCCAGTCAATTACAAAGGCTGAACAAACAAAGAAAAGAGCGATGGCTACTGCTGTCACACAGGCAACACTGTTTGGATCTCTGGAAAGTGAGATCCAAAAACACACCTGTAACTACCACTTATTGCCATAAGTGCCGCAGAAGAAAATTAAATGGGAATCTTCAAGATTTAACTTAACATCTCATACAAAGACCAAAACCAACAGCCTATTAGTCCATCTGTCAAAACTTTAGAACTTTCCGATCCTCTCTGTGGCTCCCAGCTCCAAGCCCATTTGTTCCTAGTGAAGATGTAAATCTTTAAAAATAATTACAAGCAAGTTGGCTGACTGAACTATGTGAAGTTAATCAATGAGCTATTCATTAGTCTGTCAATGATAAGAACAAGAGGAGCAGACAGATACTATTTAAGAGAGACTGAAAGAGACAGCGGCATTTCCAGAGAACTGCCTTCAGCTCAAGAATGTTTGTGTGTGTGTGTGTGTGTGTGTTCACCTACCTGTTCTCGGGGTCTGGTATGGTCATGGCTCGGGTTACACAACACATCTTGAGTGGTATGCACCTCCTGTCGCCCTGCAGAGATAGGGACGGCTGGGTAGGAGAGCTCGGAGGGTCAGGTGAAGAGGAGGACGAGGAGGAGGTGATGGGAGGGCTGCCGAGACGGGGAGATTCAGGAGGGGGGGTTTCCCAGCCGATCTCTGACACTGGGGAGCCCTTTTTGACGTACGGTGTGGCCTCGCGCATGTACTTCACTGGGCAGAAAAGGAAGACAGAGATTTCCAGTATACAGTAAGACATGGTAAAGAAGGTTGAACTGGGACATGGAATTGGCACATTTAGAGATTTAAATGTTCTTAAATGCATTAATTGGTAGAACAGAAGTATAGAAACTACTTCACTCACTAGATCCCTGCAACAGGGCTTGGTCCATTTGGGTGAGCAACACATACAGATTACTGATTAATTTAATTTCATATTGTTAATAAAAAACTGCAAATCATGTCTCCTCACTGAAGAGCATGCTGCAAACCTTGTTTTATTAAACGCTTAATGAATGAATTAACTTGCAAAAAGGAAAATGTATTCTTAATTATGTATTCATACTCATTCATCAAGTGGCTCTGCACCCATATAACACAACTACCTAAATTACTTTTAATTCAACTTCACCGAACACTGAAATCTGACAGTGTTAACATCGTTTACCAAAGAGGCCACTTCAAATCTGAGTGGGATCTATGTGTGTGACCTCATAGCCATCTTTTGATGCAAAGCCCATATCAGAGGCAATAAACAAATTGCTGTTTCAAGACGTTTATTCTTTTGAAGGCAGTTTGTCTCCGTAACAGGTCAGAGGAGGGATGTGGGGATACCAGAGATGTTTAGATACACAGCAGAATTAGAAACTGTTTAATTAGGGCCCCTCAGAGGCATTTGGCACGTATTACAGACTGTCATGGGGCAGCAGATAGAAAGATAACTCTCGGCAACATAACTGTGCATAAATGATGCTTGAACTCAAGATGTGTGGGTAGTCTGGAAACTTGTTGGTTTGACATTTTTTCGACAATGAGTTTGCTCAAAAGCTGGTTCAGTTTTTGTTTTAAAGAAAGAGTGGATTGTCTTTAAATGGACAGTTCACCCCAAAATCAGAAATACATATTTTACCTCTTACCTTTACCGCTATTTACTGAGCTAAATTGTTTTAGTGTGAGCTGCAGTTGCAGAGTGATGAGTGATGAGATGTCTCTTAGAACTAGGTGGCACTCGGCTTGTGGTGCTCGGAGCAGAAATAAATGGACCTGTGCATGTGTGGCGCCTTTCTAGTCGTCCAACCACTTAGAGCACTTTTTACACTACAAGTCATATTCACCCATTCACACACACACTGGTGCCATCTGTTTTTTAACACACTCACACACCGATGGAACAGCCACCAGGAGCAAATTAGGGTTCAGTATCTTGCTCAAGGACACTTTGACATGCAGACTGGAGGAGCAGGGGATCGAACCTTGACCTTCTGATTAGTGGATGACCTTCTCTACCTCTGAGCCGCAGCCACCCACATTTGGAAAAACTCAATGTCTGTTTTCAGAAATCATGACCCGTCTACTCAAGGTAATCCACAGACCTGCGTGTGAACAGTTTCATGTAGGAACTATTTTCTTTCTGCCAAACTATAGCTGCCAACTGTATCACTGCAAAGAAGGAAGCCTGCATCAACTACTAGCTCACCTAGCACCACTGAGCTAGCTAACGTTACAGTTCAGCCGAAGAGGATCCTATATGTTTACCTCTTGTGCTGTCACAAGAATGAGCTTCTTGTCCATGTGTGGATGCACTGTTCCTCCTGCACAGTAATAACAGTAGGCAGGTGAAGTTTGGGACAGTGAAAATAGTTCCTACATGAATCTGCTACCTTGAATAACAAGGTCATGAATTCTGGAAAAAGACATCGCTGTTGGTTTCTTGGTGCTTTATGCACCACAAGCTGTGCCATCTAGTTCCATTATATTGGAGAGAAGGCAGACATCTCTACAGCCAATATCACCTACCCTCGGCAACTCATACCAAAACAATCTAGACTGATAAATAGCTCCACGGGTAGGAGGAAAAATATGTATTTTTGATTTGGGGGTGAACTGTCCCTTTGAAACAGACCTTTATTCCATATTGAAAAAATGTGTGTACAACATGTTAGAATGAAAATAAAACAGTTCTTTGTTTGTTGCACACACAGCAGGAAGCTGTTGACCAAATGATGACCTTCCTATCACAATGAGCTGGCATGTTGTCTGTTGCTGCTGTCAGTTTTGAAATGACAACAGCAAATGTCAAAGAGCTGATAGCCAAAATAGAGTCAGTTAATTTCTTAAAATGCAAGCATGCTGTAATATATTCATCCTAACTGCACTGATGATTCACACCTTGTCTCCGCTGCTACAGGCAGGCAGCATCAAGAGAGTTACAATCCTGAAAAACCCTGAACCTACCCCCACAGCCTCCAACATCTCCTGATAGGACAGTCACAACTGATGCTGCCGAATACCTCAGAAACCCCGGTTTCCAGCCTTTAAACAGAAAGATTTACTTGTAAATGTCAAACTCTGAATCACCGGAGGCTTGATAACTATTTTAAATTCCTCATGTTTGAGACAGGAGAAGAAAAGAGACGACAGGACACATGTCTCAGTGAAAGACAGAAATAGAGAGGCAGAGATAAAGCGGGTGTTCAGCGTGCTTTCTATGTCCTGAATGTTCTGAATCCTTGGTATGCCCTGGATGTTTAATTGGCATATCCCACTGTACGAGCTGGATATAATTGGCATATGGCTGGTGGCATTTGTAATCCAGCAAGTGAACTATTCTTGGTAGAAGCACTATGGACCCCTATGAGACTGTGTAACAAGCCTAACCGCCAACCTGTAGAGAAGTGATGACAGGCTGACACATAACATGGAGGAGGAAACGGGGGTGATGTGAAAGTGTCCTCAATGGACCTTCAGTGACAACGTGTTCCAATTGCACAGTAGAATATAACCCACACAGTCGGATCAGATTAAAGGACTGAAAAATCCATTTGCTAAAATGCATCACAACAAGGCACAATGCGAGTGGATTCAATGGGCTGAAAAGATCGAATCTGATGCAGTTGGATGATGACAACCCGGTCTGGTTTTGTGTGTTAGGAGCCGTGGATCTATGAGACTGAAGTGCCACAAAGGCACATGTAGGATTTAAATTCAGAGTGGAAGAAGAATCAAGGCTTTAAAATCTGAAATGGACTTATGCACAAAGATACACACACTGTCTACCTCTCTGTCTCAGCTGCAAAGGAGCAAGCAAAAACCTTATACCCCGAAGTGTGTGTGTGCCCGCCAGTTATATTGATGGACTTTGGAAACGGTCTGACAGACATTCCCTTGTAAACATTTTATTAGACCCCTGTTATCAAATGCATTATTTAATTTTATGACAGTGGCACACAGTAGCATAATGGTCAACAACAACATGGTCTGTGAACCACATTGTGCCTCTTAAAATATTGAATCTACAGATTTCTTTAGCTTCTGTATAAACACAGTTGCTGTTGGGAATATAATTAATGCATGATACAACCATATCATCAGCACAATACATCCGTCTAGTGTTGCGGGGGCGCAATCAAAGGGAGAAATCTGACACTGAATTATAAATCAAAATTTTCGACTCCCAAGGACTCCCATTAACCTCTTGCATCGACTATAAATCTGGCTTCAGACTTTACGAGGCTTCCCTTACCCAGGAGTGTGACAAAGAAAAACAGAATGGAATGTAGCACTGAAACAAGTGATGTATTAATCACAATTAATTTCTATTTGAGTCATTTATCAAGCAAAAATTCTTAATACTCTGGTTTCAGGGTGTGAAATGTAAGGATTTTCTCTGCTTTATATGACTGTAAATCAAATATCTTTAAAGGGTAACGTCGGCTCCTGTTTTCCCTTTTTAATGTCTAAATGACAAATGGGAACAATGATTTTTCAAATTGGTCCAGACCCCCGCAGCCAGCAGCAGTAAAACAGGCTGCAATGTAGTCCCCGCAAGCGACAGAGCGTCATCAGTTTAGGTTCCCATAAAAGTGCTTGCTTTTACCACTGACAGGCTTGGACTATTATTAGAAGTGTCTGACAACTTATTGAAAGTATTCCCACAGAGTTAAGGAGTGAGATTCTTTTCATTTAACCAGTGAAAGCCCCAAAATCACTATCAGCAAACATACCAGACTCCATTTAAGCATTTGAAACCTGAGCAAATTGGCTTAATTTCTTTTAAAAACATGGGAAGAAGGCAGTGAGCAGCTTCACCAGAAAATCTAGAAAATTAGCAAAAAGTTACAAGAAAATTTAGCAAAAAAAAAAAACAACAAACAACAATTAGCAAGAAAATGTCCTGTAAAAAAGGGCTAAAAATAAATTTTAAAAAAAGCATACACACATATAGTATGTATTCCATAACATAAGTTGGAATACATAATTATGATAATCATAAATATAGTTTTCTGGATATTCATTCATTCACTTTCCATAATTATCAATCCAGGTTTTCTGGACATTTTTCCCTATTTTTTTTTTAATTTTTAAATTTTATTTTTTTAATTTTTTTAATAAATAAATAAAAAATAAATAAATAAATATAACCTTTTTGCTCAGGTTTTTAAAGGTTTAAATGCTTGTGAAAGGCATCTGAATGCAACACAAGAAAACTGATGTCAATCCATGTTTCAAAGGGTTAAATAAACAGCAGTGTTAGCGTGTATACAGACAGCATATTTTCACTAAGCGTTTCAGAGTTGGTGATTTTGGGAACAGTGGAAAGATGAACCAAGACAGCTATTGGGAGAAGTGTGTTTTAGTGTTTATCTAAATGGAGTCTGGTGGGTGTGACGAAAGCGATTTCAAGGCTGTTTCTGGTTAAACAAAAAGGATGTTACTATTTAACAAAAATAGTCTATCTCTGTAGGGATCCTTTCTATAATATTGTCAGACACTTACAATAACAATCTGAGCCTGTCAGTGGCAAAAGCAAGCACCTATAGTGGACGTACATTGAGGGTATTTAATTACCCACAGAGATTACATTTTAGCCTGGTTTGCCTTGCCAATACTGGACCAACTTCAAAAATGGTTGCTACACAAAAACATGGGAAAATATGGTCCAGGTTGAAAACTATCAAACTTACCCTTTAAAGTGGCAGTTTGGAGAGGTCACT